GAAAAAACTGATTTCCAAACATTAGGTTTTTTTTTCTCACCATTTCCCATTTTGTGCCCTTTAGATTGCTTTGGCTTTTCCACACTCTGGGTAGTTGGGGAATTTCACAGATACCTAGCTCTAATGGAAGGCTTCCCAGGCCTGCAGCCTTTTGCTGTTGAGCAGAGGAGATAATGCAGTAACAAAGTCTTGTTTGAGAGGTACTTTAATAAAGGTATGGAGAAGTATTGTAAAAAGGCTTAAATTTTTTTGTTGTTTTGTTTTGGTAGTACTGGGCATTGAACACAAGGTCTTCCCAGTGAGTTCTTTTAAAGAGAGTGGAAGTCCTTTTAACTTTATTTTTTATTTTGAAACAGGGTTTCACTAAGTCATTTGGGATGGGTTTGTGGTCCTGCTGCTTCAGCCTCGAGGTGTGTGCTGGTATTACAGGCATGCAGCACCATGCTCAGCAAGACTTAATTCTTAAAAGAATTCAACAGATTTAGGGAATAGAGGAAGCCATGTTAGAGTAGCAGCTAGGTATTAAAGTTGGTTTGATATTCCTACTATATCAGAATTCCCAATTTAGGAGCATTTAGTAAGGCAGAACTGGGTTGTGATCAACTTTGAATTCCTTGTCAAGGAGATTGGATATAGTCTGAAACCAGAATATGGAGTGCTGTACAATTTCCCTGAGAATTCAGATTGTTCCCTGTCCTGTAGGTTTGGGCTTAGAAGAAAACCTCCAAAAATGAGGAAAGCCTGATGTATCAGGAAACTCTTGGAGGAGACAGTTTTTATATTTGAGCTTTGCAAAGAGAGCTGTCTATTTGAGGGATGCAGAGAAATCTGTGAGATCCTGACAGATGAAACACCAAGATGAGGGGTCAGTCAGTAAGAATGGAAGGAACTGAAACCAGAGAAGTAAAGGATAGGAATCCAGCTGAGGAGCCATGAAGAGGGTGAGGAAGAGACCAGGAGACCTCCAGGCTTTGTGTGTGAGTGTGACCCTGTGGGTGGCAATGGAGATAGGCAAACAAAGGAAGAACGTTTAGAGGGGAAATTACTTCAGTCCATTGGGGCATTTAAAAATTAGGATGGGGTAGGGAGAGCATGGTTGTGCATGCCTGCAATCTCAGTACTGGGGAAGTTCAAGGCCAGCCTGGGCTACAAGATAAGCTCAAGGCCAACTTGAACTGTATAGTGAGACCTTGTATCCAAAAAAAAAAAAATCAATGGATTGATGATGGTCAGTTGGCTACCTTTGGTTATGGCAAAAGACAGAGGTTGGACAGATATTACCAGCGAGGGGGTTAGTAACTTAATGACAGTAAATTCTTAAGACAAAAAGAAAAATGAATGGTAAAAGGAGACCCACCTGGGCTTAGAAAGAACTGTGAGAACTGCACGTCTACCATATTCCAGTCCTTGTGTTGGTGCTTTTATTCTAAAGAATTGGGATTTATCCCTATTTTATAGGTAAGGAAAGAAGGCTAGAGAAATTAAGAAACTTTCTTCACTGCGGCTGAGGTCAGATCCAGCTGTATGTGCTTTCACTCTTTTCATGAACATTTTTTGATAAGCTTGAAAGTGGAAGTGTAGTGGCTTAAGTTTCATGGAAAGGAGTATGGACCCACTTCATGACTGTAAAAGTTCCCTGAGAATTGAGGCTGTCCTTGTCTTGTAGCCTCAGCTTACAAGAAAACCTTCAAAAATCAGGAAAGCATGATGTATCAGGAAACCCTGGGTGTATCCTGGGGAGACAGTTTCCTTTTTTGTAACACACTAGTCTTACACAGTGATACCTTCATACACTTTTTTTCTCAGCATCCTTGGAAAGTAGAAGTGAAATTTCACCCTAAGATTACCGAGGCAAATAAAATTAGAAGTTACTTCCTATTTGCTTGTAGAGACAGAACAGAAATAGACAGTTGAGTCTTGGTACCTTTTTACCATTCACTGTAGTAACATGTATAACTCATAATCAGCCTTTAAACAGACTCTGCAGACTTTTTCAGTTTTCTTATTCACAGGAATCAACTCAGGGAGGAACTGGGAAACCTAGTTTGGGGGAGGGCATTTCTTCACTAAAATGGGCAAAGCGATTGTTTAATATTACGGGGTTTTTTGGTAACAGGAATTGAACTCAGCACCTTGTGTTTGCCAGGCTTTTTTTAAAATACTTTAGAAGAGACTTGGATTTGTGATTTTTATTTTTAAGCTGTTGCTGTGTTAGCTGAAGACTGCTTTGAGCTGGAACCCCTTTCTCTGAGGGATAAGTTCAGGCACCTCTGCCAGGTGTGGATTCTATATAGACATTCACATTTGCTAATGTTTTAAGAGACAGGGTGGGTGTTTGGAGGAACTCTTGGCAAACAATTGAGGTTCACGCCCCATTCTTTTTCAGTTCTTCAGGGAAATTTAAATTTGTCCCTTAAAAGTGATTCACTAAATTCAGAACCACTAGTGGTATCTGGTATCAGGTGAGAGGAAATGTTTTATTACTCCATAGCTTTCCTAATGCTCTGATAAGAACTATGAGATTGTTATGAATACTGCAGCCAAGTGGGCCAGCGGCAGGAGAGTACAAAATCCAAAATACTTGCTCTCCTTGACCCTTCTAGAAGTGCTGCACCAGTGTTGACTGAATCCTGTACTGACCAGGTAACCAGAGAGCTGGGATTGCCTAAACTGGCAGCTTTAGGACTCCCTTGTATGATCACAAGTTCTTGGTATGTTTATTTCTCTCCTTTCCCATCATCCTGTCTTAAAGTTCAGCTCTAAAGGAAAGTACCTCCTTCACCTCAGAGTTAGGTTTGGTGCCCAGTCTTTGTTCATTGCTGTGTACGTCCCATTTTACAAATCTTCTCTGTCCCTTCCCCACCATTTCCTTCCTGTTCTGCTGTGTCCTGATTTTGCCAGTCTGTTCTGTGGTCTCTCCAGATTGATGTATTTTCCAGCGTGTGTGTCTGTCTTGGAGGAAATGTGTTTATGCTCTCTGGGCCTTTTCCAGTGCCTCTTACAGTTTCAGGGAAGGTTGTTAGGGAGTGATGCTCTGTGTTAAAAGCTATGTAAAAAAAACGTGTAGGGGCTGGGGATTTAGCTCAGCGGCATAAGCACCTGGCTTGCAAACAGGCAGTTGTGAGTTCGATCCCCATACCGATAAAAAGGAAAAAGACCGAAAAAAAAAACCAAAACAACATGTAGAAAACAAGAAAGTGAAAATAAGCTTCTTTCATGCTTCTTTCCTTGGGGGCAACCGATATTTAATTTTTTAAAAATCTTTAAAATTTTTTTAGGAACAGCAATGTAACCCAATGGTAGTGTATTTGCCTAGCAAGTTTGAATTCCCAGTACTACGCCAACATCAGTAAACCAATTAACTATTTTTGAAAAGTAAGTCAGGCATAATTGTGCACACTTGTAATGTCACTACTTGGGACACTGAGGCATAAGAATTGCACGTTTGAATCCTGCCTGGGCAATTTAGTGAGACCCTGGCTCAAAATTTAAAAGAAGACAGGGATGTAGTTCTGTGGCAGAGTGCCCTACGGTCTAATTCCAGTACCACCAAAAATAAATTTAAAAATTAAAGTTTGCATCTTTAAGGTCTCAATCTTTTAAAAAAAAAAAAAAAAAATATATATATATATATATATATATATATATATTTATTTATTTATTTAGTCTTTTTTGAGACGGCGTCTCTCTGCAGTTCAGGCTGGCCTTGAGCTCACTTTGTAGCCCAGGCTGGTCTCGAACTCGTAATGATCCTCCTGCTTCAAGCCTCCCAAGTGCTGGGATTACAGGCCTGCACCACCATGCCTGGCTGAAAAAAATTTTTAGCAAGAAAATAAAACTTCAAAAGAAGATAATAGGGTAACGATGGCTAATACATTGTGCTTTATTATCTTTAAATTAGTTATTCAGAGTACAAGATACTGACATTCAATTGTCCGAAAATGTTAGCACAAACCTTTTTCAATGAACCAAGAGAAATTAGTAGTGTAACTATGTTAACTATCATATCTTTTATATGTATGTATGTATGTGTATATCTATATAAGTTTGTTTTAACTTGGTCCTTTGGAAGTCTCTACTCATTTGACAATATTTCTTGTACATTTTAGATCTTTATACTCTCAGCTTCTTACACTAGGGAGCCAATACAATGTTTACACATGTGCATCTGGCTTATTTCACTTAGGAATGTGGTCTCAAGTTGCATCCCATTTACCTACAAAGATCTCAAGTTTATCCTTTTCAGTGGCTGAGTAGTACTCCATTATATAAAAAGACCACTTCTTTTTAGTCCATTGCTCAGTCTGGACACCTGAGTTGTTTCCAAAATTTAGCTATCACAAATTGTGCTCCTATAAACATGGGTGCACCTATGTCTCTGTGGTATGATGTTTTTAATTCTTCTAAGAAGATAACCAGGAAAGATAACCTCCAATCAGTCCTAGTTTTTTGAGGAATCTTCACTCCACAGTGATTTCCACAGTGGTTGCATCAGTTTGCATTCCCACTAACAGTGGAGAAGGTTCCTTTTTCCCCACAGCCCTTCCAGCATTTGTTATTGCTTGATTTCCTGATAATAACCATTCTTCCCAGGATGTTTATTCATTAAGAAGTATATTCATGGACTGGGGGTTTAGCTCAGCGGCATAAGCGCCTGCCTTGAAAGCAGGCAGTCGTGAGTTCGATCCCCGGTACCGATAAAAAGGAAAAAGACAAAAAAAAAAAAAAGTATATTCATCTCAGTTGCCCATTTTTGGGTTGAGTCTTTAAATTTGGGAAGTCTGCTTTTTTTTGAGTTCTTTATATGTTCTGAATAGTGAACGTATCCAACTGGCAAACATTTTCCAGCACCCGTTTCTGCATCTTCTAATCTATTTCATTATCTGTGGGTGTTTCTTTTTTTTGCTGGTACCACGTTTTTATCATAGTAGCTTTGCATTTCTTTTCAACACTTCTTCTCTTTATTTTAAAAAAAGTAAAACAAGAAGGATAGAAATGATAAAGAATCTCAAACAAATAGAAAATTAACACTAATACATTTCATATTGTTATCTTAGTAGTTGTCCAGGTTATAAGATACAGGCACAGAAAAATGAGCAAACACTCAAAACAGTGAGAGCACAAATTGTTCTTTTGAATGAACTAACAGATTTGTAGCATAAAAATGTGGAACACCTCATGAATTTGTGTGTCATCTTTGTGCAGAGGCCATGCTCTTCTGTATCATTCCAGTTTTAGTAAATGTGATGCCTCCTGCCTTGCCTTGGTTGCCCAGAATTGCCTTTGCTATTCTAGGTCTCTTCTGGTTTCAAATAGATTTTAAGGTGTTTTTTCTAATACTGTGAGTTGGTGCTATTGCAATTTTTTTTTTTTTTTTTGCTATTGGAATTTTGATCAGAATTACGTTAAACAAGGTCTCAATTTTTAAACATACTTTGTGAGATTATACTGTTACCCAATTTGCTTGTTACATAGAACAAGTTTTCCTGCACACAGTACATAGTTCTTATCTTTTCGTATACCAACAGATCTGTATTCTTTTTAAGGGCAGAAACAGTACTTCATAGTATGAAGATAGCATAATTTAACCAATGTGAAAGTCCATAGGTACTTAGGTTGTTTGCCTTTCTTTTCCTTTTTCGACATATTAGGTCAGTCATTTTTAGAAAAAAAAATGATGACTAGAAGATAAATGTTTGGGTTTATGCTACTTTTCTTTCTCTAGTCCATCCAGGGACATTTTCAAGTTTTGAAGATATTTTTGGACAGAAAATGCCTGTATTTCTGAATATAAAAAAGCCAGAAGGACTCAAAGGTGGAATTGGGGAAATTATTATAGGGTGGTTATTGGAATCCTTTAAAGCCACACATGAGCACCTGACAGGTGTTACTTTTATCATAGTGAGAACCCTCTATATGTCTCATTTTCTTTTACAGCTGAAAGACTGAGTGGGGGGGGGCTTGTGCATACTAGGCAAGTGCTCTACCATTAAAACTACATCCCTATTCTTTCTTTCTTTCTTTCTTTCTTTCTTTCTTTCTTTCTTTCTTTTTTGGTCTTTTTGAGATAGGGTCTCACTGTGCAATTCAGGCACTCACTTTGTAGCCCAGCCTGGTCTTGAACTCAAGATGATCCTCCTGCCTCAGCTTCCAGCATTGCAGGTATGTGCCACCACACCCAGCTACATCCCTACTCTTTTAAAATACTTTTTTTTGCGGTACTGGGGATTGAACTCATGACCTCATGCTTGCCAGGCAGGCACTTATGCCACTGAGATAAATCCCCAGCCCTAAAATACATTTTTAAAAATTTTGAGATAGAAGCTAAGTTGTCCAGGCTGGTCTGGAATCTGTGACCCTCCTGGCTTTCCTCCTGGCCTGGGTTGGGATCATGGGCATGAGTAGCTGGCCCTGCTACCATTTTCTTTTCTTTTCTTTTCTTTCTTTCTTTTTTTTTTTTTTTTTTTTTTTTTTGTTGTCTTTTTCGGTTTTTTTTTTTTTTTTGTCTTTGATCGAACTCATGATTGCTTGCTTGCGAGGCAGGTGCTTATGCCGCTGAGCTAAATCCCCAGCCCCCCCCCCTTTTTTTCCTGCTCCCATTTTCATAAGCCTTAAATTAACACTCTTCTAAGATTTAAAAGACAAGAAAATGCTGGGAAGAACTAAATTTTTCACCTTTTCACCTGAATCTGTATTAGAAAGGGGACTACAAATTGTGTTTTTTATTTCAGTTTGCTAGTTGGAGCTTAAAATCAAGTATTTGGTATTGTTAACTTGTAAGAGATCAATTTTAAGTTTCAAATTATTCATCTGAACTGTTTTTTTCTTCTGGTGGGACTAGGGATTGAACCCAAGTCCTTCACAGGCTGCTTATGCTTTTTTTTTGGGCGGGGGGGGGGAGGGAGAAGGTCTCACTAAGGTGCTAAATTGCCCAGGCAGGGTTTGAATTTTGGAATCCTCTTGCCTCAGCCTCCCAGAGTGCTAGGATTCAGGTGTGTGCCATTACAGGCCAGAAGACTTCTTATATAGCCTTTCCTCAATATGGCTGAGAAAAAAGATAGTTTTCCTTTCTCATTTACATTATACTTGGTAACTTTATGTGTGTTGGATTAGATGTGAAATTTAGACATCCTTAATTAGACTTTTTTTTTTTTGCCAAATGCATTTTATTCAAGGATAAAAAGAAAAAAACTACAACAAAATTTAAAGACATTTGGTCAATGGGGGCACCAATGGTACATAGATGGTGCATTGTCATCCCCAAATCATTCACCCAGATCACAAGACATGGGTGTTCAACTGTCTGAACAACACCTGCACAAATTTTTCTCTTCAGTGAACTCAGAGAAATCAGTAATACAACTGTCTTACCTATTTTTTATTTACGTATACATACACATAATGCTTTTTTCTTTCAGCTTGTTACACGAATGAAACAGTATGACATTCTTAATCTTTGACTTCACCATTACTTTTCACTATTATTTTTCAGACTTGTGAGTATTTGGCTGACACTAGCTAAAAAAAGTCAGAGAAAGTACTTTATCAGATGTAAGATGATATACAGTAACTGCTTTTGAAATAGTTTAATCATGTTTATTGAATACACTTTGTGAGAGGAGAGAGCATGAGCCTAGACGCCAGGATTACAAAGCAGTTGCTGGCTCACTTATTTTCATTTTCATTGTAGTTTAAAAACTGGCTGATCAGATAATGTATTCTCGTAACACTATATACTATTTGGTGACTTTGGTTTTATTTTGCTTTTTGAGACCAGGTTTCACTATATAGTCCAGGTTGGACTCACAGCAACCCTCCTGCCTCAGCCTTCCAATTTCAGGGATTACAGACTTGGGCTATTTGGTGTCTTTTGCAAACATCATCACTGTCCATCTGTAGAAGACAGGTGACTTTTAAATAGATTTTTAAAAATTCATTCTGATTATTGGCTTTATCGCAAACTTAGTTTTCTTTTACTCTTTCCTAACGTGATTTTGAGTGGGATTGGATGCGTTTTGCTTTTACCTGTAACAGTTCATCAGTTAGGAAGTAGGTACAGTATTAGGTTCCATCTGTTACAACAGTGGTGGAGCAGGGCATGGTAGCGCACACCTCTAACCCAGCATTCCCAGGTGGAGGCAGGATCTCCAGGAGTTGGAGGCCAACCTGGGTTACATAATGCATTTAAGGCCAACCTCGACTAAATAGTGAGACCTCATCTCAAAATAACAAAAACCAATGTTGAATGATGTGCCTGTGAGAATATGTACAAAATGCACAAAAGCTTAATAGCCAACCTCATTTGAACAAATCAGACAGATCTGGAGGAATCATTATTTCACAAATGCAGCACCAGCAAAGAACCAACTATCCGGTTGATTGAAGTAACTGAAACCTGAATTCTGTGTGTTATGTGTGAGTTTGGTACCAGGGATCTAACTCATGACCTCATGCTTGCTAGGCAGGCACAGCTAACACCGCTGAGTTAAATCCCCAGTCCCTGAAATCTGAAATTTAAAGTGGTTGTGCCACCCCACCAAGCACAGTCTGAAATATAGATACATTAAGTCGTTTCAGCAGTCAGATTTGGTTTTGTGTTAGGTCTGGATTTGGTGAAAATACTTTTGAGTTAATCTTAGGGCATCCCAAGCTTCAAAGCAGTTAAACACCAACCATTATTTAGCGGGGTTGCTGTAAACAGAGCCCAGCATGAGCTCCTGAGTGTTTGCTGAAGGTTCCTGGAGGCTGGCACGCACAGGGCTGGCTGCAGGAGGGCTGAGTGGCCCTACTTTCAAGGCTGTCCCCAGCATGCTGCTGGGGGCAAGCCCTGGGCATGGGTCTCCCTCAGGGTCTGTTCAGGTAGAAGAAGAATCTGGTCAGGACAGAGCGAAAGGCAGCTGGCCAGAGCTGTGCAGTAAAGGCTCATGATCTCGTAAGATGCTTCGATTGTTTCCTTGGTATATTTAGGGGTGTTCCTCCAGTGGAAAATGGAGTGTCTGACCAATGAGTGGCTGAACATTTAAGTTTTATGGCGGTTCCTACAAACAAAAGATCATTTAAGTGAACAATTGATTCAGAATAGCTGTTGATGAAAAAGAAAGCCCGGTGTTTAGCGATAGGCATAGCATTCCTTTACAGCCAGCCAGCATGGCGGGGCCACAGACAGGGCTGCCTGTCCAGATGCCACCTCGCTTCTGTTTTGAGTGCTGAGCTACTGCTCTGTCACCTTCACAGCAGGAAGGAGGGGACTGGCTGGGCACTGATGGAAGGAGCTGGCCTGCTGGAGTGTGGCCTTGCCTTTGTCCTCTGTTCTCACAAGGGAGAGAGCCGAGGTTTCCTGAAGCTGTTGAGGATGGCACAGGGACTAGAGTTGACTGTGAACTAGGGTGGGGTGTGGGGATCCCAAGACCTTTGCTTTAGAACAGGAATATGCAAATTAAAGCAGTAACTTATTTTACTTTTTGGTTTCTGTAATCTGCCATTTGACCCTGGTTTTTCAAGAGCAACACATGGCCATTTTTGTGGGAAGCTATTTTCATTTGTAACATGGGTTTGTTAGATTGAAAAAATCTGCCTTATTTTTAAAGAAGTCTCATTATACTTTTTCTTACATGCAGTGTAAATTTCTCATTTTTTACTTTCAAAATAATTCTCAAGCATTTAACTAAAATCATTATAATGGGTTTTTCATGGTTTAACAATTCTTACAGAAAACTTTGATTTTTTTCATACTAAGAATTGAACTGATGGCCCTTGCACTAGAGCTACATCCCTAGCTTTTTAAAAGAAATTTTTTTAAGACCTGTTTATTTTCAGACACTTGGGCTTGAACTCAATATATAGCACAGGCTGGCCTTGAACTTGCAGTGATCCTTCTGCCTCAGCTTCCTGAGTGCTGGATGGAGGTGTGTACCACCATGCCCAGTGTGGGTTTCACTTTAAACTGCATCAGTGGCCTTCTGTTTCCTTATGTCTCCTTTGCTTGCCTCCCTCAGCAACAAAACATTAAGGAGGGGCAACACCGATTAATAGTAGCTCACTTCAAAGAAAAGCTGTAGATTATGCTATTAAAAGCATTTTATTTTATTTTATTAAAATTTCTTAAAACGTTGTTTGTAAATCCTCTTCCCATGTTTCTGACCCATGCTTGGCTGCTGCTTTGCATCACTTACACTGGTCTTGCCTGGTGGAGAGTACTGATCAGCTTGGGAGTGGGAGGGTGTGCTAAAGGCAGGTCCTGAAGTTTCTGTTTTGCTCATGTATTTCAAAAGTAACTTTAGAAGGATGACCCTGTGTGGTCATGACACTTCTTAACTGGCACAGAGGTGATTGGTGCTAGTGATTTCCTTATACCTGGTGCCTGTCTGATGCTTTTATGATCAATTATAGATGGGTTCTCACATGCATCACCTCCCAGACTTGTCAATCGGATTTTTCTTCTTCTTCTTTTTTTTTTTTGAGACCAGAAAAGCAGTTCAGGCTTGCCTTGAACTCACTTTATAGCCTGGACTAGCCTTGAACTCAATAGCAATCCTTCTATCTCAGCCTCCCAACTGCTGGGATTACAGACATGTACCTCCATACCCACTTGGCTTTAGCTTTTTTTTTTTTTTTGGTCTTTTTCATTTTTATTGGTACCGGGGATCGAACTCATGACTGCTTGCTTGCAAGGCAGGTACTGAGCTAAATCCCCAGCCCCCGGCTTTGGCTTTTTATCACCTGTCTTCATCCACATGAGCTGGTGAGGTTGGCCTGTGGTTTGGGAAATGACATCTCCAAGTACAGATTTACTGCCAGCTGTGTTTCTGTGTCAAGTCCTAAGGTTTCTTCCTTCCTTAACACTAATGTTGACATTCCTTGATCAGCGGAATCACAGTTTATTTGACTCTGCAGTTCTTGGGTTTTTGCAGTCTACTATTAACTATCCTTAGCACAAAACTTTGTAACTTCTATAAACAGCTGAGGGGCAGAGCAGATCAGGCAACATGAGCTCATTCTTAATTTGTATTAACGATTCATAGAATTACTAATCCTAAATTCTAAGCTTTGGTTTCTGGGCATTTTCTTTTTCTTTCTTTTTTTTTCCCCTAAAATCTCAGTGTTGAGGTTTCTGGGAATTTTCAATCTTCTTTTCAGCAATTCCAGTGCAAGTCCAAACTTGACTTCTTAGAACACCCTGTGTATCACAGGAGAAATGAACACATACAAACCAACTTACTGTGGGCAGAGCAAGCAGTGTGGGTTGATGTGTGTTGAGCTGCCCATGTGCTTGGTGTCGCGGCTGTCCTGTTAAAGCACAGGACTTCCCCAGAGGGGAATCAGGCACGACACATAAAGCCATGCCTTACAGTGCACCCTTAAGTGAGGATACATCCTTAATTGTGTAGTATTTCATCATTTTACAAGATTGTGGGAGTTTGTGGTATTTCTTGAAACACTTGGTTTTTGAAAAAGCCTTCTTCCTCATTTTCAGAACTCGTGTTTAGGAGAGCAGAAGGAGGTAGAGGAGGCCTTCCTCCGGGGGTGGGTGCTGTGTGTGCTGCTGCTCTTGTCTGTTCTGGAGACTGATCCAGGAGGGCTTCCCCACAGCCTGCCTGCTTGGCCCAGTCATACAACACCAAATAGTTTAGGGGTGGTGGGGAACAGAAAAACTCAGTGCCTTGTTACAATCCTCAAAAGCTGTGTCGCTTCCCTTGCTTTCCCAGACTGCTGCCCAGAAGAAAAGATGTTTGGTTTTCACAAGCCAAAGATGTACCGGAGTCTGGAGGGCTGCTGTATTTGCAGGGCGAAGTCCTCCAGTTCCCGATTCACGGACAGTAAACGCTACGAAAAGGACTTCCAGAGCTGTTTCGGGTGAGAGCAGCTGACTTTTGCACTGTTCTTATAGAGAAAACAGTCCTAGCAGGAGAACTATTTCCAAGCAAAGCAGTGGAGCGTTGTGCTGACAATTAAAAAGCACTTGTGTTTTATTCCAGGATATTTAAGGCTCCTGTTCTTTAAATGAATCAAACCATACCAACAACCATTCTTTATTGGTAGGATCGAACTCACAACTGCGCACTTTGCAAGGCAGGCACTTCTAAATGCCCAGCCCCCTAACAACCTGTTTTTTACAAATTAGTAGGAGCTACCAAATTGAGAGGGCTCTCTTATAGTTCTAACTAGACAAAAAGCATTTTGTTGACAATTACAGGATATATAAAGGGGTTTTTAAAAACTACCTGATTCCCTCTTACTAATCATGGTATTGATTTTCTAAACAATGGAGAGAGATATATATATGTGTATATATATATATATATATATATATATATATTTTTTTTTTTTTTTTTTTTTTGTCTTTTTCGTTTTTATTGGTACCATGGATCGAACTCGCGACTGCCTGCTTGCAAGGCAAGTGCTTATGCCGCTGAGTTAAATCCCCAGCCCCCATGGAGATATATTTTAACCCAACTTGCTGAGAAAGATGGTATTAAGTAAGACTTGATGTTCTGTCCTGACACTTGTCAGGCTGTATTAGCTTAATGTCATAATTTCATTTCTTTTTTAAAGAGTAAGCCTCTGCTTAATAACAGGGAGTTTATTTTCCAGTAAACACCTGAATAGATATATATTGTTGAATCATTTTCTGTGTTAGAAATTAATTTCACCACTTTTCTTAGCAGAACATTTATTGACCACTTGCTAATCCTAGATTTAATAATTATACAGTATTTGAGAGTTGTCAAAAGGATTGTGTGCCATGCCTGTTGGTTTTGTGTTAGTTCGGGCTGGGGATTTAGCTCAGTGGCATAGGTGCCTTGCCTTGCAAGCATGTAGTTGTGAGTTCGATCCCCAGTACCAAGAAAAAAAAAAAAAAAGGTGGGCAGTTTTGTGTTGGTGCCAGGAGCATTCTTCCACTGTACTGAGCTATAGCCCCAGGCCTTTTATTGTTTTAAGTCAGGATCTCATTCAGTTGCTCAGGTGGGACTTGAACATGCAACACTCCTGCCTCAGCCTACTGTGTAACTAGAATTACAGATGAATGTCACCATTCTGGAATATCATGTCACATTGATTTCTAAAAGGTAGCACTTTACTAATTAATGAAATACCTATAAGTTTCCAGAAAGATTCATTAGAAAGTTTCATTTAGCTCAGTGTTGTGTGTAAGTGCCTGCCCAACAAGTGTGAGGTTGTGAGGTTCAATCCCCCATACCAAAACAGACAAAACAAAACCATGGCAGCTGGGATCTTTTTCTAGTCTTAAATTTTACAAGCATTTTATTGATTGATTGGTTATTGATTTCCATGCTGAGGAAATTTATTATACTAAAACTACCAAATTACAATATGTACTATTGGTTCTAGGCTTCATACAAATTAATTGGGTTATCTCGAATGATTAGAAGTTATACCTTGTTACCAGGTATGTGACATACATCTGCAGAGAGGCTGAGGCAGGACTGCTGAGTTTGAGGCCAGCCTGGGCTACACAGTGAGTTCAAGGCCAAGCTATATACATAGTGAACTATATACATAGTGAGCCCCTGTCTCACAAAATCAGAACAAAACAAGACAGAAGTGGTGCCTATCTACAATAAATGTACGTGCTGGAGCCTCTAAGATAAAGGGCTGTGGTGAAATTTCACGCTTCTTTCCCAGGCTGCACGAGACTCGCTCAGGGGATATCTGCAATGCCTGTGTGCTGCTCGTGAAGAGGTGGAAGAAGCTGCCAGCAGGATCCAAGAAAAACTGGAATCACGTGAGTTGGTCTTTTTCCCCAGTGATTCCTCTCTCCCCTGTTGCTGTTTCACCATCAGGAGTCAGGACCCAAGTCTCCCCTGGCTGTCCCCAGTCCTTTCTCATTTCCTGCTTTGGTGCAGGTTCTCCCGAGTTGCCCAGGATGGGCTTGGATCTGGCAATCCTTCTGGCATTACAGGTGTATGCCATCTTGCCTGGGCTCTAGAACAAAGTATTTATGATGCTGTGAACAGTGCTTTTGAGGGTGTTTGTGCATTTGTTTCAATTTTCTGGTGCTGGGACGGAGCCTCAGACCCCTGAACATGCTAGGAGAGTGCTTCACAGCTGAGCTGTGCCTGGCCTCAATCTTTTTTTTTTTTGCTATAGTTGTTGTATCAGGGATTGAGCATATTACCTTGCACTTGCCACGTAAATGCTTGTCCAGCTTCAGTCTTACTCAGTTCTTTTTAAGTAGAGGGCGTTTTTCCTTGTCCCTTCCCCTGCATTTCCTTTTACACCATTCTTCACGGACAGTGTTGTATGACTGGAGTGTACTCTGGTAGATCTGTAACCTTATTAAATGTGAGTTTTCATTTAGGGCCGTATTTGGAGGAGATCAGGATTGTGATCTTTGGAGGTGATGGCACCTCTCGTTCACACAGCAGTCTTCCAAGGGTCAGTGTGAATGAATGCATGTGTAGCCCCGAGGCTGGCTGGTGTGAGGGGAGCCTGTGCCTCTAACACCTAAAGTCAGGGTACAGTGGAACAAGGGCAGACAGTGGGTCTGGAGGCCTTGGTCTCATCCCACCCCACCAGCTACCCTCACCTATTTACTAGCTTGGGAAGTAATTGTTCTTTGCCTTAATTTGCTTCAGTCTAAAATTAGACTAACAAAATAGCTCTCTTGCTGCTTTGTGATAAAATCAAAAGAATCTGAGAGATTTTTAAATTGTAAAATATTATTTTGTAGAAATGTTAGTTACTAAGCTTGATCAGTGGTGACAATTTGAAGTGCAGGGGTTTAAACTCAAAGCCTTTACTCTAAGCTACATTTCTGGCCTCTTATTTTTCGTTTTGACCCAGAGTCTTGCTGAGTTATCCAGGCTGGGCTCAACCTTGCAGCCTTCCTGCCTCAGCCTCCCAGAGTGCTGGAATTACAGGTGTGTGCCCCCACACCAGGGTGGGCTTGATTTTTTTTTTTTTTTTTTTTTTTTAAATCTAATTGGGTTAGCCAGTAATGATTAACTCTCATACATCTATTTTAAAATGTTTTCCAGCATTAAAAATAACAAAGCAACTAAGAAGTGCAGGAAGCATCACTGAGTGGTAGAATGTTTTCATGACATACGAGTGCCCCTGGGTCCCTCCCCACCCATAGAAACCCCAGTAGATAAATGGTATTTATTCTTATCTCATGTGATGATTAGAGTTGCACAGAGCCTTCTGTATAGAACTGAGTATAAAACCTGAGTTCTTAGCCATAGATCTGAACCAGTTCTCTTGTCTCCTTTCTTAAATGATGTTAAATATTCAGTGTTTTCTTCCAGGTGGTAGACGCAAGGGCAGGACCCAGTCTAAAGACTACACTGAAACCAAAGAAAGTGAAAACCCTGTCTGGAAACAGGATAAAGGGTAACCAGATCAGCAAACTGCAGAAGGAATTTAAACGTCACAGTAAGTTTGGAATTAGAACTTCAGCAGTTATTTTTCAGTTTTTGTGTTTGGTGGGAGCTGGTACATGGTATGTGTAGATCATTTTCCCCCTTACAGCTGTTTTGAAGAGAGACCATTTGTATTTAATTGGTAAGGATGTTATTACTATGAAATCTTAGAACTCTTATCTGATTTATTTTTTATGAAGAAATAAACTTTCATAACCACAAAAGAATAGCAATAGTACACTGTATCGTTATCTTCAAAGTCTATCAGATTCTAATACCATGAAAGCATCATCAGAGTCCACTGGCTACTTAATTTTTTAGAAGGTACATTTCTAGTTCGCTTGCTTAGCTTTCTTACACATAAAGAAGCTTGAGTCCTAGAGAAAGCTGTGTATTAGCAGACAGTCTGCGGCCAAAGCCCAGACTGCTGGGAACTTCAGAGCTCACCATTCATACATAAGGATGGCCAGTCCGTGGGCTTTCAGGTTTAAGGGCGAGTGTGTCCTGTGGGTGACGGAATGGAAAATTAGTGTCAGATTAAAAGCAGCTTCACATGCTGTCGTTGAACCTGCAGAGGGTGGGGTGGTGTTCAGGTTTGGGAATGTTTCCAGCTCTGAAAAGGAACCACACTGCATATAACATTGCTGCACAATATTCTCATCCCCCTCGGGAGCTGAGTTACCATTGTTGAATCAAATGTTTGTTTTTACAGCAAAAAAGCAGAAGGATTTTCACATTAGGTGGGATGAGTGGACTGCATAGGTTTGTCCATCACCCTATAATCACATTTCAGGTCAAGGCAGATTTACTGCTATCTCAGAACTGTGGATGGGTTTAAGGACTTGTATTTGGAGCTCTCAAGATTTTAAAAAATATCTATAGGATCTTGTAAACAAAATGTTATCAGTCCAGACAAATCAATCATTGTGCATGTTTTAGAACAAAGGAAAGAGACAGGCTTACATGTTAGCGTATGCCTGAGAGGCTGAGTTGGGAGATCATCAGCTCTAAACCAACCTGGGCAACTTAGTAAAACCCTATCTTAAGAAAAGGGATTTTAGGACAGTGGCTCTGGGGGTATAGCTAGTGCAAAGGCCCTGGATTTAATGGCCAGTATAGACCCTCCTACACAAGAAAAGACAAATGATTTTACTGAAGAAGTAGAGGAAGACTGTGAAGAGCACGTTTTGATACACTTTGTACATTATTATCGTCTGTTACTTACCTTTACAGTTTAGGGTAGCACAGAGGGCCTGTTTAACCTTGACCACTCACTTAATAAGTGGTGAGGTGAATTTGAATTTTGGCAGCTCAGTTTCAAGACATTTGAATTTCTACACAGCGCTGGGTAAAATCACCTCCTGCCCCCTCCTAGTGGTGTTTGCTCTTGTACATGCAGCAGCTACCTGTCCTGTTACCTGTTGGAAACACCCCGTATGTGGAGTGCTGGGAAGACTTGGACCTAGGGCTTCTAGATCTGTTGAGTTAGTTGTAGATGTTTGACTCTAGAATTGCTGATGTTTAACCACGGTTTCCTTGCCTGAGAAATGAGATCAGCGTGCAAACAAGTTTTGTTTTGTTTTTTTTTTTAAAACAATACTATTTTTTCTTTCTTTGTGGTGCTGGGAATCGAACCCAGGGCCTTGTGCATTCAAGCCAAGAGCTCCACATCCACATCCCAAAGAAATTTTTGCCCTTTTTTTGGGCATTTTTTTCAGCAATTAGTCATTTCTGGTTTCTGTAGAATAAATGTTGTTAGGTACCTGCAGAGTCTTTGGAGGTTTGTGTTGGAGGGACAGTGGCTCTGGGCTGGCTGTGAATCAGTTTTGTGCAGTAAGCAGAATGCGGAGATGCTTGCTGTTCCCGTCTGCCTGCCTGCCTCACACTGTCTACATCAGCACTGTTTTATACCTTTTCAAATCTGCCTAGTTTTTTTTTTGTTTTGAAATCTATTTTATTTCAAAGAGACAGAGGGAAAACAATTTCAAAACATGACAATGATGTTATTACATACTTTGTGCACTGCTATCCCCATATTAGTCTCCCAGAGCACAAGAGGTCGGCATTGAGTGATCCAAAAAATAACTAGCACAAACCTTTCCCTTCAGTGACTCAGAAGCCAGTAGTATAACTGTCTCAACTATCGGATTCATATATAGATACACAATACACATACATACACACATATTGTTTCAGCCTTTCATACTAGTGAGAGAGTAAGATGTTGACACGTGTGTCTGATTTATTTCACTTTTGAGTATGGTTTCAAGTTGCATCTGTTTACCTATAAAAACCAAGCTTGTCCTTCTTTATGGCTGAGTAGTACTCCATCACATAAAAATACTGCATCTTTTTTATCCATTCTGCAATCACTGGGCATTTCATTTGTTTCCAAGATCTAGCTATTACAAATTATTCTGTTGTAAGCATAGGTGCACATACATCGCTGTGGTATGATGTTTTTTAATTATTCTGGGAAGATAACCAGGAAGGGAATAGCTGGGTTGAATGGGAACTCTAGTCCTAGATTTTAGAGGAATCTTCACACTAATTTCCACAGTGCACCAGTCAACACTCCCACCCACAGTAGAGAAGGGTTCCTTTTTACTCACAGCCCTGCCAGCATTTGTTATTGCTTGATTTCTTAATTTTTAAAAAACTTTATTTCTGTACCAGGGATCAGATTCATGACCTCATGCCTGATAGGCAGGTGCTTACACAGCTGAGCTAAATCCCTGGCCCTTTATTTCTTGATAATAGCCATTCTTTCTGGGGTAAGGTGGAATCTCAGTGTTTTAATTTGTATCTCTTGAATGACTAGTGATGTTGAACATTTTTTTTTCTTTTTTCATATATTTATTTGCTGCTTGTATTTCTTTATCTGAGAAGTGTGTATTCATCACAGATGCCTGCTTTTGGATTGAGTCTTTAAATGTGGGAGGTTGGTGCTTGCCAGGCAGGCGCTTGTACCACTGAGCTAAATCCCCAGCCCCTGGGCTGATTGTTTTTGGTGTTTTTTTTTTCTTTAAGTTGTTTATATGTTCTTGATAGTAATCCTTTGAGGACAGCTGGAAAACATTTTCGCCCACATTGTGGCTGTCTCTTCACTATGTTGGTGGTTTCTCCTGCTTTGCAAAAGCTTTTCAATAGAATGAGATCTCTGTTGTTGACTCTGTGATAGTTCCTGCACAATGAGTGTTACCTACTATATCTTTCAGCAGATTCAATATATTTCTTTTTTTCTCTCTTGTTTTTTGTACTGAGGATCAAATTTATGAGCTCATGCTTGCTAGGCGGGCGCTTATGCCACTGAGCTAAATCTCCAGCTAAATCTCCAAATGTTTCTCTTTTAATATTTAGACCTTTAATCCATTCCACATTTAGTTTAGTACATGGTGAAAGATAGGCTCCAACTGTAATGTTTGGCATGCGCAGAACCAGTTCTTCTGCCATTTTATTAAAAGAGGCTGTCTTTCTTCCAGTGAATGGAAGTTTGGCACCTCTGTCAAAGATAAGGTGGCTTGGTGTTCCTGGAGTTATTTTTGCATCTTCTGAGCTGTTTCATGGATCTTTGGGACTGTTTTTTTGTCAGTACCATGTGGTCTTTATCACAGTAGCTTTATGGTATAATTTCAAGTCAGGGATTGCGATGCCCCCGTCTTGCCTTTGTTGCCCAGAATTGTCTTTGCTTTTCTGGGTCTCTTTCTGATCCTAGATGAATTATAGGATTGTTTTCTCAAGTTCCGTGAGATACACATGCCTTTGGAAATTTGATTGAGATTGCATTGAATCTGTGTAACAGTTTTGGAAATAGCTGCTTGATTTTCAAGACTTGTAAAATTAGACTTTGAAGAATTTCCGTACCTACATTTCTAGAATAAAGTTGTTTACTGTTTTTTTTTTTTTTTTTTTTTTTTTTTTTAATATTTTATTTAAGGAGAAAAAAAAAGCAGAGAAAGGGTACAAGTTATACAGATTTGCAGAAAAAAAATGAACAGTAGGAAATCACAAGTTAATGGATTACATATTGTCATCTTAGAAATAATTGTTCAAGTCACAAAATTAAAGCTTGTAAAGTGGACATTCCAACAATGATACTGCAAACAGTTCTGTTCAATGATCTGATAAAATTCTGTGATATCATATTCTATCTTATACACTTAAATATACATGCAGTTATATAGTTTAGAGCACTTTCTTTTCCTCTCTTTTGTACAATGACTATTACACATTTTGGGTTTCATTGCTCTCACGGTTCTTATTACTTTTTTGGAAGAGAGTAAAACCAAATGTGACATAACAGAACAGAATCGGTCAAGTCAAAAGGGTGGACATAATAGATAATGTGAAAACATAATACAAGGTGATCAACAATGGTTACCATAATGCCTCTCGCTATCTCTAATAGAATTGCCTATACCATTAGTTATAATACAATTGAACAAAACAGTAAAGAACAAAACCAACAAAACCAAACCATTGGAGACATTGTAGGTCTTCAAAAGTAGATAAAAGTCAACGAGAATGGGCGTTATAATGAATCTCATTATCTTCACAGCTGATGCCTAAATTTTCGAACCTGATACTATCCAGCAAAACAGAATAGGGGAACATCAGTTAAAAACCAGATGGTGAGAGTAATACAGGGCTTTAAATCGAGGTAATGGAAAGTCAAAGTGGGTTACTATAATATATCCTGCTATTTTTTCCATTAATTAAAAGGATAAAAATTTTAAAAAAGTATTAAAAAAGTAAATAATGGAGTGGAGATTGAGATAAAAGAGGGCATAACAACTAAACAGCACAGATCAAAACATAACCATTTAAGCAGAATAGTGTTTCACCACCAGATAATCCTGACCTAAAAGTAGTTACCATATTGTCTCTTTCCTTGAAATCCTTGAGTACAACTTCGTATACTGTAGCATTAAGTATATCAAAACAATGTAAAACCATTTAAGAGAATGACAGCATTACAGAATATTTAGAACCGACTAACAGAAAATGAATAATGATTTCTGTATAATCTCCTTGTCTTTAAAAGGTTTTTGCTTATACTATCATACATAATAAAATCCAGTAAGATACAACCTATTTAGACCATTGGAGACAGAAGGACAAAAGCTAGATGAGACTTCAAAACAAGATGGTACTAAATCAGTATTACCTATTAAGATGTCATTTTCTCCAAAATAGCTGTTCCTATCATCCAATCTTCTATGCCTCATTTCTGTTGAGCTCTTATTCTGTCAGTAGCTGTCAGTTTGTCTTCTTCACTTTGTTCTCTGCTCCATTAGTTGTGGCCTCCACTATTTCTGGATTCTTTGTATTTTTCTTTTTTTAGAATATCCTGCAATACTCTCTGTAGAGTTGAATTGGTGGTTGCAAATTCCCCCAGTTCCTCTTTATCCTGGAAGCATCTTGTTTTTCCATCAATTTCCAGGGACAGTTGTGCAGGATATCTCAATCTTGGCTGGAGATTATTATCTTTCAAAGCTTGAATTATTTCCCCCCACGCTCTTCGTGATTTGATGGTTTGTGCAGAGAAATCTGCTGTAATTCTGATGGGTGCTCCCTTGTAAGTGGTCTGTTTCTTGTCTCTGACAGCTTTTAATATTCTGTTCTTGTATTGAATTTCTGGAATTTTTATTATTATATGCCTGGGTGTTGCTCTGTTTGGGTTGTAGGTAGCTGGGGTCCTGTATGCCTCATACATCTGAGTATCTTTACCTTTTGCTAAATTAGGAAAATTCTCCTGGATTATTTCTGTGAGTAGCTTTTGTAGTTCACTTGTTTGTGTCCCTACTTCTTCTTTTATGTTCTTAATCCTTAAGTTATGGATCCTCTTATCATCTTCTTGTCTTTGTATTATTGCTGTTTGTTTCTTTGTTATTTTTAAGAAGTTTTTCATTTCATTCTCCCATATTACAATTCTGCCCTCCAGTTCAGATAGTCTGTCCTTAGTTTCTTTCAAGCTGTTATGCCAGTCTTCGATAGACTTCTTAGTTTCTTGGTAGTCCCTTTGAACCTGCTTCACGTATTCTATGCTTTCCCTGTTTTCTCCATCAAACAATTCTCCCCTCTTTTTCTGTTCTTCCATTCCACCATCTGTTTTTTCTTGGGTGGGGCTTAGCATTTCTCTAACTATTTTGCATACTTCTAGCTTCAGGTCGTTGATAACTTCATTCCTGAATTGGTCTATGAGGCTCTCTATATGGTGCTTTATGTGTATTGGTGCGGTGTCTGCTATTGCCTGTTTCTCAGAATTGGGGGCCGAGGAGCCTTTCTTGTTGCTGCCTCTTCCCATATTCTCTGTTCGTTATATATGCAAGCTTATATGAGAGGCCCAGCTTCTCTCCCTGCCAGCCACAGCCTGATCGAATTGCGCCGGTTAGGTGTTCCCACTCACCGCTGCGCACCAGGCAGCCTACGCGGAGGCCCGCCCCTCCTGGCTTCCGGCAGGCTCTGGGATCTGGTTTGGGCCAGCCTACGGGGTCCGCCGGCAGCGTCACGCAGGCCAGGCACTTTTCACCAATCCCGCCCGAGAGGGGAATGTGTGGCTGGAGTCTCCACCGCGCCCTGCTCCCGCAGGACTGCTCGGGCCCAGAAAGTCCGCTGGAGTCAAACTGTGGTGGAGTGTCAGTTTCTCTCACTCACCTCGCCACAAGTCAGAACATGCCTCCCTGCCCGTCCTGTTTTCGACTCCGTTCGCAGATTCCCGTTCTCAGAGTTTCTGCGCGTCTCTCTCCTTGCCGAGCCGATGTAGAGGCAGCCAGCCGCCGCACGGCGGGAAACCCAAATCGTGGCTTCCAATGGCGCAGGGTCCAGCCTCAGCAGCGAGACTTTTCTGTTCCTGTTTTAGCACCAGGACTGCATTCCAAGTTGGTTTCTCTCAGCCGAGTTTGTTCCTGAGTCAGCAGAGCATAACTCCACCTGCTTATGTCTCTTTAGTCCGCACCATACCTGGCTTCTGAGCCTAGTTTTCCAGAGAGCCTCCGGTAGTTGCTGTTATCTGTCCGCCATGTTCTCCCGGAAGTCCCTTACTGTGTTTATATGTCATTATATATATTAAACCATATGAAATTGCACTTATAAATAAAAATGGTCCATCACTGTAATTTTAGATGGTTCAAAGCTATTAAGTACTTCTAAAATAGTGAGTTTCCCCAGTACCAGTCCACCAGTCCAACTTTATTTGGAAAGTTTAAAAAATATCCCACTAGTCTTAAAGTTTGCAACCTTTGAGGATTTTTTTTTAAATAAAGGTGAGTGATATTTTTATTGGAAATAAACATGTTAAAAATACTAACGGCTGGGGCTGGGGATTTAGCTCAGCAGCATAAGCGCCTGCCTTGCAAGCAGGCAGTCGTGAGTTCGATCCCTGGTACCGATAAAAAAGCAAAAATAAATAAATAAATAAATAAATAAAATACTAACGGCACTCTGTTCTACATGTCGATAATTTTGTCATTTTGTGTTGCCATTAATACAAACCATGCCCACCCCCACTCTGGCAACTTACAGGGTTTGGTGCTTAAGAAATATTTGATTATTCTCTGAATTTTAGAGGATTACCTTATGCACCTGCCCAGTTGATGTTAGTTTTACCCTGTTTATGATCTTGTTTGCTGTGGTACAGGCAATATTGTAGCCATCTAGTGTAGTGTTGTAATGAGCAACCAAGGTGTATTTTCTGGCTTTTAAATTTATATGAAGACTCCTGAACAATTAGCATTGCTTAGAAAGAACTTTATTCCTAATGTAAACTCTAGGGTCTGTTATCTTCCTTATTGTAGGTGAGGTGGTGTTTTCCTGGCTGCTTCCAGGATTTTCTTTTGTTTGATTTTCAGATGTGTAGTATGGTGTTTCTTACCTTTGTCCTGTTTGGACTTTGATAGCTTCTTGATCTTCTTAGGTTTGTGTCACTGCATTTGGTAAATATCAGCCATTTTTTGTTACCTTTCCACCTCTTCTCTTTCTCCTGTCCCTCCAAGAGGGCAGTGCTGTGAGTGCGACTTGTGTTCAGATTTGAGTGGTTTCTGTTACTATAGTTCTCTGTTTGTTCTCTGTCCCCTTTGCTGTTGCACCAATCCACCAAGCTGCCTATTTCACTTACTGTAGCTTTTTGGTTTGATAGTCTGCATTTGTTTCTTGATAGCTTGTATCTGTTGTCCCTACTTCTCCTGTTGCTGGGGAATAAAGGCCTGCTAAGCACATGGCTCCCCCTGCACACCATCCTTAGTGTCCTCTCCTTTTCCTTTTTTGGGAGGCAGGGGGGAAGTTTTACCAGGAATTGAACTGGGACCTCGTGCTTGCCAGGAATGGGCTGTGACCCCCCTGCACTGTATCCCCCTTACCCCCAGTGAAGACTCCTGTGACTGCCAAAAGCTGTGTTTCAGTTTGTTTCACCATATTTCTGAGTGCAAGTTGAAACGTTTTTGTCTGACTACTTCATAATCTTGGTCTAATAAATCTAACATCTGTCACCTTGGTGCTGGCATGTATTTGCCTTCCCATGCAGTCAGAGACGTTCCCGTTTTTTAGTGTACTATGATTTTCGTTGAAATTATGGGCCCTTTCATTTTCTGCTGTGAGACTGGATCTCAGCTGAACCCGTTTTGACTGGGTTATCTGGACTTGCAGCAGGAGTGGGGGACAGGACTACAGGCACTTTGTTGGTTGCTGCCTGACTGCAGGTGCCTCTGCCTCCACGGACTGAGGTGGGGCTGGTTCTTGCTTACCAACAGGGGAGGACTCTGCCCCCTGTGACCAGGGGTGGTGACAGTCCTGGCTCCTCACTGGGCATCTGGCAGCTCCCCTGCTTGAAGTTCCCGTACCTGGGGGCAGTGTAGCCTCCCTCCTTGGCCTTGCTGGGTGGAAGGTTTTGTCCAGGTTTTCTTTGGTGTTTAGTTGGAGAAGAGTGGTTATTGTCTAATAAAAGGTAATTTAAAAAAAAAAAAGGTCTGCTAGTCTTCCTCTTTCCCTGATCCTTTGACAAGCATTCAGAGATGTGCGCTGGGGCGTGTGTGTGTGTGTGTGTGTGTGTGTGTGTGTGTTGAGATCACCTGTTTCTCTTTGCATCACTTGAGTTACTGCTGCTTTATATCTAAGTTGTGATTTTTGAGGCACAGAGAAAATCCAGAAAAGCAAAGGAATTTCCCACTATGTCCTCCCGTTTTTAGGTCTAAGGTCTTGAGGTGCTAGTATGCCCATTACCCTGCAGGGTTTCAAATCTGTTTTATAATGTAATGAGCAGGAAGAAGAGGGGAAATGTATGTATTCCCTTTTTCTTTCTCTGTTTTTTGGCACTGAGGATTGAACTCATGACCTTGCATTTCCCAGCAAGGCACTGAATGCCACCAAGCTAAATCCCCAGCTCCTGTTTTCTTGTACAATTACTATAGTACCAACGTTTTCAAAATTAGTGGCATAAAAATAAGTTCTGTTTTTTACCATTTTATAACTTAGTATCTTAAAGATTTACTGGCATTTTGACTTCAATGGTGCAGAAATAAGGTGTATGCAATAGAAACAATGGTGTAAGTTTCAAGTTATGGTCTATTTCCAAGCTAGCTATGTGCATGTGATTCTGTCTTGGTGCTGGGCAGCCAGAGCAAGCCATGGCTCCCTGTCAGCCGCCACACAATCACGAGGGCAAACAACCAGTGTTCCACACAGTGTGCTGTTGCTAGGCTGTGCTGTTTGTTAGGTAGAGTAAACGTGCTTCCAGTTTAGCATATATTATAGTGAGTTTATCAGGATATAACCCTGCCCAGAGAAAGAGCAGCCTCTGTAGTCACAGTTATCATAGTCTTTTGTCTTCTCTCCTCTCTGCAGATTCTGATGCTCATAGTACCACCTCAAGTGCCTCCCCTGCTCAGTCTCCATGTTACAGCAACCAGTCAGATGATGGCTCAGACACAGAGATGGCTTCGGGCTCCAACAGAACACCGGTTTTCTCCTTTTTAGATCTTACATACTGGAAAAGGTAAAAACATCAGAAAATACCCTGTAATCAACAACCCATCTTAATTACAGGCAGCAGTTTCCCATTTCTGTAGTAACTAAATGGCATTTGGCAAACAGCTGATAGCACACATGTTTGCAGGTGGGTTAAGCAGGAACTAAACAGGGTGTTGGGATTCTGTGTTTTTCTTCTTAAAATTGATTTAAGATAAAAAATACTTCTTGTATAGGTACCTATATTTTCTATGAGGGAGTAGATTAAAAATACTGATAACTCAGTTTTGCCACCTAGAATGTGTAAGTGCCAGACATACTGTTTTAAGTCTGTGACCCCAAATCCAAGAATAGAGTAGGAAAAAGAAAATATTTTCAAAAGGAAAGTAGTTAAGGGTTTCCCAGATTACAGAAAACAAAAGCAAAAGAATAAAACATCTCACACAAATATATCAGTGAAACTACAGAACAAGGAAGATGAAACAGATATGTGGTAAGCAGTGAGAAAACAGTATTTTAAAAATATATATTACAGGGGCTGGGGATTTAGCTCAGCGGCATAAGCGCCTGCCTTGCAAGCAGGCAGTTGTGAGTTTGATCCCCGGTACCGATAAAAAGGAAAAAGACAAAAAAAAAAAAAAAAAAAAAAAAAAAAATATATATATATATATATATATATATATATATATATATATTACAAGAGTCACGTCTGCACAACAAACGTATTCATTATCACAATCATGTACTAATAAAAATAATTTTTAAAAGGAATTTCAAAGGAACAAGAAACAGAGCTGAGTTCTTAAAAATATAAATGAGGAGAGAACAGTGAAACGTATCTTCAGTGGGTCAAGAGATAATAACTCAAAATCGTATATGTATAAAAGTAGCTTTTGTGACTAAGAGCTTAAGACATCTTGGATGAAGATAAAGTTTGTGAACAAGCTGACCTTTAGAGAGGCAGACATTCTGAGAGGAAAGAAGTGGAAATAAAGTATTTAGCAGACAAGTTTAAAGTGATAGTGTTCAAGGTAGTTAAAAAAGAATTACATGGTAACTGTTAACGCTTAGCTGGGGGTAAAGGTAATCAGGCCAAGTGTCCATTGTCCTTTGCACAGGACTTGAAAAGGCCACATGTGGTGTGGTAGTGGCCTGCCTTCAGTCCCAGTACATGAGAGGCTAGGCAATTTACAGAGCCCATCCTGGACAAGACCTTGTCTCAATAGGTGTATTTTTTAAAAAGGAACAGGGTATATGTCATTGCAGAGGTTCTTAGGTTTTCTGTCTGGTGCTATACCAAAAGCAAAGTTCTCACATAAAATAAATAGCTAATTAAGTGGGAAAATGTTCAGATTGTAGACAATTATGAAAGCACAACTTAATTTTACATACCCTAGATCAGTCAATACTAGAATAACTTCTGTTGCAAAATCTTGAGGAAAGACTGGAAAGGTGGATCATGGGGGTGAATGGGTATAAGCCTAGTGACTAATAATTGGCATTGTTGAGGAAAGCTGAAGATGTTCCTATCTTTGTATCCTAATAGTATAACCCAGGAGGTAGTCTTAGGATGTGTACGCTGAAGGTACGCAGCAGTGTTAATCATGGCAACAGTCATGCACAAGAGGGAGAATGGATAAACAAAACTGGATGGTTGCCTGGTTAGACTATTACACGTAACAACAAAATAGAGCCCATAACTACATTTTCATCTCTGTTCCTCTCTGTTGAGTAAAAGTTGCCAAATACAGTAAGTGTGGGTGTTTGTGTAGTAGATAATTTAGCCATGTACAGTATTTAGAGACAAACAACAGAAACAGCCAGAAAACATAAGGGAGAAGGGAAATTGGAGTGATGGTGAACCTTTTAGAGTTGTCTATGCTAACAAGCAGCTGGCTGTGGCACACATGCCATAGGTTCGCCACCACTGCCCTAGTGCCAGGGGAGTTGAGGCAGATGCAGCAGGGTGTTCCTTGAGAGGCCTGCATGGTGACCTCCTGGGATGTGACCCGCTTTTCCTCAGGGGTGATCCTGACTCTTCTTAGTTTTAATGCCTTGAGTAGAGCCATAGTGTATATATGCACTTTGATCTACTCAGTTAACTGAAAGCCTCTGCCGCTATTCGCTTGTCTCTGGTGTCTCTGGTCCTTCATTTCTTTAAGAACCTAAGAGTTTGGAAGGAAATAGTTAACTTTAGAAGCAGCCTCTGAAACTTGCTGCCTGCCGGCTCTTAAATGCCTTCTTCCTCCCTAATAGTTAAGAAAATTCCAGAGTGGTCTTAAAGGGGGGCCGGGTGATTTCCATTCGCAAGTCAGCTTGCAGTCAGTCAGGAGTCCTTTTACTGGACTCTGATAGGATTGCAGAAGTAGAAACTTTTGGGGCTGGGGATTTAGCTCAGCGGCATAAGCGCCTGCCTTGCAAGCAGGCAGTCGTGAGTTCGATCCCTGGTACCGATAAAAACGAAAAAGACAAAAAAAAAAACCAAAAAAAAAAAAAAAAAAAAAGAAGTAGAAACTTTTGGTCGTGCTTGACTAATAATAATAGTCAGTAGTTTTTCTGTGTTTAGTTTGGCTGCTATTTAGTTTTCTGCCCTTTAATACCTTTCATTCTCTACTTTTCCCTTTAGACAAAAAGTGTGTTGCGGGATCATCTACAAAGGCCGCTTCGGGGAGGTCCTCATTGACACGCACCTCTTCAAGCCCTGCTGCAGCAGTAAGAAGGCGGCACCGGAGAAGCCCGAGGAGCAGCCGCCCGAGCCACTGCCCATCTCCACGCAGGAGTGGTGACCGAGGCTCATGCACAGGGGGACAAGGATTCAGAGGACCGCGGACCCACAGACTGACTCCTGTTCTCAACTCGGACACCTGCTATTCTGCCAAAAGACATTTTTAGAATAGTGTCGAATGGGTTATTTCCCCCCACTCCACCAGTTCCACCAAACTCTGAAGCCAGCGTCTAGCTTACTAAGAGAGAAGTGTACATAATATTTAAGATGCTGAGTGTTTCATAGGAAAGCTGAATGCTGCTGTAAAGTGCTCTTTAAGTCTTTTTTAAAATCCCCTTCTAATGAATGAATTAGGGGAACTTCAGGGGACAGAGATGGGATTCGTTGTATGATAAACTGTGTGTAGTTTTAGTCTTTCTATATTAAGAAGCAGTGGTTGGGGCATTTCTTAAGATGGCTGGCTACTCTTGTTTTCCCTCATACATTTGCCTAACTAGGTGACAGGTAGTTGCTAATAATTTTGAAATTATTAAGGTCTTGCCAAGGTTCTGATGATTCAAACCTGTACTACTGATTACTAAGCAGGACAGATAGTTTTCTGGTGCAAATACCTTTGAGGAAGTAGTTTTAAACTATACAAACAATTAGCTGTGCGTGGTGGCGCATACCTGTAATCCTAATGTAGGGAGGTTGAGGCAGGAGGATCTCTTGAGTTTGATGCCAGCCTGAGCTACATAGTGAGCTCAAAAAAAGTGCTAAGAGGTAGTTTGGCTGCCTGTGTTGTATCCTGTGTCACCTTCCCTTATGTCAATGTTTGATAAAGACAGCAAGCAGAATCTACTCCTCCCAAGGAAAGGGCAAGTCCACAGGGTATGCAGGATGCTTCAGGTAGTGCTGGGGCCTCACCACACTCACTATTACCTTGTTTGGTACCATGCAGGTCTTCAGGATGGCACACGACAAGGACTGACACTTCCTGGGCATGTTTCTTAGAGGGCTTGCCACACGTGTAAGTTCGGTGGCGTTGGTTTGGTGACTCCGTTGAAATCTGCACAATTCAGTTTCAGCTCTGGATTACTTCAGTTGACCTTTGTGAAGGTCTTATCTGTGTAGAGTAGGTGTCTGACTTAGCTTCTTAGGGTTTGTTTTCTCTCTACTTGAAGTAAAAGTTAGTGGAAGAAAGAGGTGTGTGTCAGTGCTAAGCCAGTTGGTTTCGGTTTGGCTTCTTCCCTTTAGGCTTCTGAACATTGAGATCAGCCTGAGCGGGGAGCTAGTCAGTTCCAGGATGTTCATGGTGGCCTCTCACCAACTCGTGGTCTTCTCTCTGAAAGTTCAGGAGGAAAATCACACCAGTCAGACTTCTCACAGTGAGAAGAGTGTTCACTTGCCTTACACTATGCTTGTTTGTTTTCAAAACTGGATTTCTAAAATCGGGTAGTGTCATATTGAGGAGTGAGCCACTTTCTACAGGCACATGAAGGTTTTTCACAGCTCTGACTCGAAACGTTTTTTATTTCTTTTTGGAAAACCCACATACAAGAGCCACAGTATGAGAGACCGTAGCAAGAGACAGGTGGCTCTCCATGGCCTGAGGGATTGCAAGAGGCCAGCCATACCATCCTCCTGAGGTGTTTTGAAATGGCTTTTTTTTTTTTTGTACATTTTGGCTGCAGTATTGGTGGTAGAATATAATATGGATCATCTCTACTTCTGTATTTATTTATTTATTACTAGACCTCAACCACAGCCTTCTTTTTCCCCTTCCACCTCTCTTTGCCTGTAGGATGTACTGTATGTAGTCATGCACTTTGTATTAATATATTAGAAATCTACAAATCTGTTTTGTACTTTTTATACTGTTGGATACTTATAATCAAAACTTTTACTAGGACATTGAATAAATTTAGTCTTATTAGAAAATAAAAGGAGCTGTTTGTGGCTTTGTATTCCAGATCTTTGATAAGCTTACCTAGTGTTCTTGGTCTTAAAGACACTCAGTCTAAGCTCTTAGTAGTATTCCTAGCCTAGCCATGAGAGGTAAAAACTTCTTTACCAGGAAATAAAGACCCAACTTCACAGGCTATTTTAACTGATATGCACAGTCATGAACTTGGTTTTTAAGAGGGTTTGCCAGTAAAGAGTGGTGTTCTCAGTACTTCAGTGTTGTAGTCTGCTCTTTACTGGTCACTGGAATAAATGTACAGAGTTACTTTAGCATTGTGAGAAATCTGGAGGTGTAATCCCCACCAAATCCCTGAAAACCAGCTCTGTTACCTGGAGAGGTAGGTCTGTGGGCTGGACATCCTGTGCTGCTGTTGAGGATTTTGTTGTTAATTACTTAGAATGTTAGAACTGTGGCCTCGTGAGTCTAGGCTGCAGCCTTGTGCTGCTGTGGGCAGTCAGATGTTTTATTGGCACCTGATACAGAGGCTGTGAAGTTACTGGCTGAACAGTGGGCGGTGATAGCAAGGAGCTCAGTTTCTGTGGGGCCCACCTGAGCTGTATGCTAGGGGTCCCGAAGGGTGTTGGTTGATTTCCCCCATGGGGCACTACACCCTGCCCAGGCTTTGCCCTACCCCTCCTTGTAGCTGGGGGACCCAGCAACTGCCTTCTCCCCGGGAGGCACCTCCTTTGGTTGCTTACCACCTTGGTTGCTCCATACTTCACCTTACTGTAGCAAATGCGTGGGGTGTTCTGCCCTCTCAAATGAATGCTAGTCAGGAGGTGTGTCTGCCTCTGCAACCTATGGTTACACTTGTGTAGCAATTAAGAAGTCCTCATGAAACAGCATGGGCCAGGTGCATTTTCCAGTTGGTTTTTTAAGATGGTCTCGAATGTAGTATAGGCTGCCCTTGAACTGAGGGAGGTTCCGCCGCAGCCTCCTGAATGCTGGCATTAAAGGTGTGCACCAACAGCCCAGGTGGGCTGGGTGCTTTTAAATACTGTTCAAGCACCTGCCTGGCAAGCGCAAGGCCCTGAGTTCGACTCCTAGTACCAAAAAAAATAGTGGAAAACAACACTGTTTAAATCTATACACAAAAATGAATTCACGGGTGGGTAGGTAAAGGTCTAAGGAAGTCATGGTATTTGATAAGAATCTTCGATTCTAAAGTATTTTGCTCTCCAGATTCTCTTCTCCCTTCTTTATCTCCCCCTTGCCCTGTCCTCAAGGTCATGCTGGGTAGCTCAAGCTGGTCTCGCACTCCATCTCCCTACCCCCAGCCTCCTGTGCACTGGAACCTCTCTGCATCTGCATTCCCAGGGTTATTTACTCTGCATCTTCACCATCACGCCGAGTGAGGACTGGGTCTTGCTTCCCTCCTTGCTGAAGGCGGACAGTGCGGAGCACCTTGGACCCTCACAGAGGCTGCCCTTTGTCTATAAATCAGGTTTGCTTTTTGCCTACTGCTGATAGAGCATTTGCTGTATTTTGTGTGCAAAAACTGCGGTTCAGTGGAAAAAACTGGATATGCCCATGACCAATCCAGTAGCCGGAAGGAAGGAAGCCTTTCCCTCCTGCAGTGAAGAATGCATCCTGCCAGGGATGCTATTAGCTGGCACCTGGCGCGCCGAGGTCCAGACCTCTGGTGCAGCCTGCGCCTGGGGAACGGGAGGGGGAGAAATCCAGACAAAAACACAACCCACCGAGGGGCTGGGTTATTGGTCCTCAGGATGATGTCTATGTATCCAATTCCTTCCCCTCTGGGCAAAGACTGGCCCTCCCATATTTTGAGGCATCACCCAGGACTCAGTATCTGAAAGCAGCCAATCACTGCTTCAGAGTATCAGCTCTCAATACTTCTACAGCTTGGGTTAGCTTCAGCCTGTTCCAGAGGGGTTTTTGCAATGGTTGTTTTGTGCTTAGGTTCTGTATTTAAATCTCAAAAAAGCTATGCATACTTACAACCACAGCACTACGGGAGGCTGAAGCAGAAGAATTTTGAATTAGAGCCCAGCCTGTACAATTTAGACCTTGTGTCAAAAAATACACATGGAAGACAGTGATGCCACAGCTGTACATTTTAAAATACATTTTTCTTCTGTGATTGAACGGTCCCGAGCAGTGACACTGTGAGACTTCTATTTTTTGTTATTTCTGAGACAGGGTCTCACTAGATGGTCCAGGCTGGCCTCAAATTAAAGGGGATCTTCTTGCCTCAGCCTCTGGATTGCAGGCATGCACCACCATACCTCGCTTCAGACCAAACAGGCTTACTTTCAAATTTTGTGTGGAGGTTGTTCAACAGTCCTTTGACGCCATCTAATTGCATATGACGTGTATTTTTGATGAATTCTCTCTGTTCCCATTGCCCAGTGGAGAGGGGAGGGGTGGAGCCTACGTCTGGCCCGTGAGCACATTCGTCCTAGAGAACACACGGCAGGAGTAGGAGCCAATCCCAGTCTCAGTTTTCCTGCTCCCCGGCCTTGGCAGTTTCTTGTCCGCCCCCCACCGCCCCAGTGGGAGGTGGTCCCAGACACCGCAGTCTTGGTGAGCGCTGCGTGAATGCAGCGCAGGAGCCTGGCTCCATGCTCTAAGGAGCTGTGGTCCTGTGAAGTGACCCTTCTGCAGCCCTCGAGCCCCTGCGGGAAGTTATGCAGATGGAGCGCGGAGGCCAGACCGCGGATGATCTGCTGCTGGGGGGTGCGCTGAGACCCGTGACCTGGACCCGCCCAGGAACCTTGCCATATTCTATAGCCTTGAGGTCCTCACAGTTTCCTGTCTCAGCCTCCCAGAGTCCTCGGGTAACTGGATAGCTGTTTGCGCTGTGGCCACAGTCCGCGCTGTCTCCCCAGCAGCGCGCTCTGCCTGCCTGAGCCTGTCCGAGCCTGCCCTGCCGCTCTGGACCCGGGCCCCAGCCTCTCCGCGGCGGCAGTTTGTGTTTCCGCCGGGTCTCCCCCGCTCTGGCCGTGTTTCCGTTCGAGACCGGGCTTGCAGAGCCGCGCAGGCTGGACCTGCGCTGGGGCTGCCATCATCTCAATCCCAGCGCTTGGCCAGGACGTGGCGTTTCCATCGGGCGAGAACAGCTCCGAGGAGAGTGCTCGGGAGGAGCGGCCTCACCCTGCAGCTGCTCACGGCAAGTCACCGTGTCACCGTGTGACTGTCCAGCAGGGGGAGCTGGCCGCACGCAGCTCAGGGGCCTGGACTGCAGTGCCCACGCCCTCCTGCCCCTCCCCCCACCCTGCTCAGTCTTTTCAGCTGAAGATTGTCAGTGTGGCTACCGACCTGATGCTATAGAATTAAAACGGACTGAGGGGGGCTGGAGATTTAGCTCAGTGGCATAAGTGCCTGCCTTGCAAGCAGGCAGTAGTGAGTTCGATCCCCAGTACAGATAAAAAGGAAAAAAACAAACAAAAAAATAAAAAATAAAAAAAAACGGACTGAGGCATTGCTTGATCCATGCTCCACAAACCACCATTCAAACGAATGACATGCCCTCAAAACACGTTACAGAGAAGGCCTGGAGAATCTGCTTCTATTGCCCTTTGACTGGGATAGGTTTAATCTTTACTAAGAACTAAGAGCCAGTAGTTAAATTATCACCAAGGAGAGGATGAAAATGTAGCTCAGTGGTCGCATGCACTAAGGCCCTGGGTTTAATAGCCAGTGCCACACACACACAAAATTGCAGAGGAGAAAGTACGCACACTCATTTCCCCCAGTCGCCACATCCCCAGATGATTGCCTGTGGAATGCATTCTTGAATGTTGCAGATACTGGGACCACAATTCTAAACCCTTAAACAGCCTGGATGTTGTTAGTGTTTCTATTTTTGCAATACAGGGGACTGAACTCAAGGCCTGTGCTTGCCAGGAAGATGTTCTACCTCTGGGCTACATCCATCACCCTTTTTATTGGTTAAATTTCAGACAGAGTCAAATCACCAAGGCTAGGCTGGAACTTGCGATTCTTTCGCCTCAGCGTCCTGGAGAGGCTGGGTCCCTGGGGTGGGCCACAGGGCCCAGCTTAGTCCAATGGTTGAAGGTTAGGGTGGTGTCATAGGTTTACCGCCAGAGGGCAGCAGACCTTGCTCCTCCTACCGCTTGGGCTGTGAACGCAGCTGGGTACCACAGTCTCCAAAGCAGTGTTTTCCAGAGTACTATGCAGCATCCAGCCGCTCAGGTGCACGCAGCAAAGTCAGGGCTCGTTTCCTTTTGCTTTCTCATTATTTACCACTTTTGCTTATTTTATAATTACATAACACTACAGTACTACCGGTGCATGATTCATGGATAAGAAGCATGGTAGAAGTAAATACTCTCTTTGGAAAGAGATTCATAAAAGGTTGGGTGAACCAGGGGTACTGTAGCCAGCTTGGGCAATTCAGTGAGGCTCTGTTTCAACATTTAAAGATAAATAGATAAAAAGGACAGGAAACAGCGCAGTGCTGTGGGGTTCAATCCCCAGGACTGCAAACAACAGCGTTAGGAAACTTGTGTCCGTCTCTGTGTGCTGCAGCTCAGGAGAACATTTAACACAAGTGGTGCACAATTGTACATCTAATCCTTTGGGAGGCTGAGGCAAAAGAATCAAAAGTTCAAGTCCAGGCCAGGTAACTTAATAAAGCGCTTTCACAAATAAATAAATGCATATATGCAAGCAAGCTTGGACTGTAGCTCCATGGTAGAGTTATCAATACAAAAAAATATAAAGTTTATTTTAAAAATATTTAAAGTCATCTCTCTAGAGACTATAGCATGATGGAGGAAGTCTGGGAGTGGCTGTTTGTTGTGAAGTCCAATAGGCTATTTTGGGGACATGAGGAAGAAAAGTTGCCAAAAGTGTCTTCTGTCACCTGCTTATCATGCATGATGCCTCCTTCCTGCCCATGTTTGCCTCCCTGCCTGAGTCTTTCACAGGCCGTGGGCCCTCGGGGAAGACTGTAACTAACCTTCCTCTCAGTGATAGAGAAGAATAAACCAAATC